CAACTCTTGGGCTACTTTTTTACCAATGAATAGGGGGATTGACCGTCACATTATAACGCCCCAACGGCTGAAAGGGCGTGACGGGGTGTGACGGGGATTCGAACCCGCGAACCTCAGATTGCGAGTCGAGCGCCGTAACCACCTGGCCATGCCGGGCCTTGAGTTTTAGTGGTATAAGCCTTCAAGCTTGCTTATCGGGAAAAGATCCTATACGTAAAACAGTGCCATTCTAAAACAATATTCGGTCACTTAAGAACAAAAATATCTCAATTGGAAATTTTTAAGACTTATACTTATTCGTGCTTCCTTAACATTATTATTGTTCTAAGAAAAGCTTGTCGTTGCTGAATCCCAGATATATCTTATGCGAAACATTAGACTGAAACATTCAAGTCAGAGACCTATAAAGTTCATACATAATCATCCTTAATTTAGAACTAATAACCAAAGGAAGACAATCAGTAAGAAGCACACGCCGTCTTTGAGAATACTGTTAACCAAATAGCGGAATTGTTTTTTCACTATGTTAAAACGTCTCCCAGTGGATCAGCGGTAGATTACGGACCTAAAACGCTAAAATCCAGTGTACACATTCCCATGGTGAGCAGCATATAGATAGCCTACTGTGTACCTTTACGCTAAAACTAGCTATTTGTATTCCACAGCATATTGTGGATTCAGCTTTGAAGCTTTCGATCTTGAGTCAAAAGTAACTTCATAAAACAGCATTAAAAGACAACATTTAGGCTGTCCTATCCACAAAGTTAAACTAAACCTTAAAATAAATCATCAAATATTTATCAAGCTTTAACTTGAAACACTCTTAAATTAACTTCATCCAATATAGAAAAGCAAAGCTGTCTTAGCTGAAGATGACTTCTTTCCTGCCTAAATTTATATTTGTGTCTCCTAGTCTTACCATTCTCACCATTAAACATGAAACAAGATGATGCATCAACACTATTAATTCCCTTAATAATCTTAACTAAACACTTCATCAGATCTCATCTCTCTTCTTTTTCAAGAGAAAACAAGCTCAGAAATCTCAACTTATCCTCATATGATAACATCTCAAACCTAGGTATCTTTCCCTCTTTTGAAACATTTCCAACAATACAATGTCTTTTCTGAGGTAAGGATCCCAAGCCTAAACACAATACTCCAAATGAGGCCTAACCAATTACCTATAATATGACATTATAAACTCTTTAGACTTCCCACATAACATACATACGTTAACTGTAGGTTAACGTTGTTCCAACGTATATCGCCCAACTTTCCATCCATTAAATTTTTCCATCAGTTTGCCAATGTTGGACTAACGTTGGTTCATGCACTGTTTTCAACGTTAGCGAAAGATCTGCTTGCCATTAGTTCGCCACCCAGGAAGGTAGCACACCTCGATCGGAATTGCCTCCCACATATATATATAATTGTATTCAATATTTCTGTATATATAGATATAATCTAAAATCCTATTTACCCTGACACGAGCAACAGTACATTGCTTGGATGGCTTAAGATACTAATGAGCTTACTCGGACTGTAAATCCGAGAGTTCATGTTGTATGACTCAGTTCCGTGAAATCACTCTCCGTGTACTAGAATAGTGACAGTTATATCCCACTATTCGGTGAGATAAAGTTAGTCGAGAATTTACTAGCTACTTTCCCTCTATAAAAATCTTCAATCACTCTAGGTAGTGGCAAAACTTGTCGAGCAGACAGAGATACTTACTCAAGATATAAATATACCCTCTTGCCATAAGAAATAAATTCTTGACTAAGTTCTTCTCTGTGAGGCTTCATATTTACAGGAAGGAACAGCATAATCTTCACAAAAGTAAGCTCAAGGAATCAAGTTCAGGTGATGAACTTTGGAGCAAGAGCATGGCCATGCAAGCTGCTGTGCAGAAACTTATGAAGACTACAGGTGTTGTACTAACCATATATTTTGGTATGTTTTGAAACGTTTCATTCTCAGAAAACAAAGTTCGCTTATCAAAATATCTCACTTCATATGTTCATGTAATATTGGTTTTGTTTTCATTTATCAGGTGTAAGAAACTGTCATACTATATATTTACCATATCTTAAACTTGTTTAATTTTTGAGTTGCTTTCATGTAGTACCCTCTTCGTGGCTGACATGGAAAATGACTGCAGTTTGTACAGTTGCAGTATGTCAGCTGTTTAAGCAGTTTTTTAATGTTCTAACTGTTCCTCTCTCATACTTAAAACTTTTCTAGATCGTTAATTACGTATACATAGCTGTTTTGATTGATATCATTTACAACTAACCACTATTGAATGAAAGAAAATTGTCAGTTTTATGCAAACAGGTTGGGCAATAGAAATTTCTAGATACGATCATTTTTGTATTTGTATGTTTTGTTTCTGTAATGTGAAAATTGGTATCTTGTAAAAAATACTAGAGTTTCTTACTGTTCTGATTTTCACTGTCCCTCAGAGTTCTAGGTTTCTATCATAGAGGAAAACCAGATATGGGTCAATTAACTTGTGTTTATTTGTTTGTCTGGAATTAAGTACAGAGCTACACAATGGGTTATCTGTGCTCTGCCCACCACGGGTATCGAAACCCGGTTTCTAGCGTTGTAACTTCGCAGACATACCGGTGTGTCACTAGGGGGCCGCTATTTAAAGTCAATGCCCACTAGTAACACAGTGGTATGTCAGATAGCCCATTGTGTAGTTTTGTACTTATTTTCAAAC